TCCATATCTGCCAAGTGACCCTATGTAGGGGGAACAGTCTCTATTCTGCTCTGTGTCATTGTGTATCATGGTCTCTGAGGACAGGTGTCAATCCATATCTGCGAAGTGACCCGATGTAGGAGGAGCAGTCCCTATTCTGATCTGTGTCAGTGTGTATCAGGGATCCCTAGGACAGGTGTCAATCCATATCTGCCAAGTGACCATATGTAAAAAAGGCCTGATGAGATGAGCTGCCTTGGGCTAAAAATGGTCCACACGCTGCTGTATTATAACTCTGAATGCCGCTTAACTTGCGTGACTTATCTGCCACCAACTAGGGTTTAAGCCGCCAGTGTGTACTTTATCAATGGCTTTATAAAGCAGTGTGTACTTATAAATGGCTCCACCTGCCACCCGTACAGCAACACAGTCTCCAGTTAGGAGGACCGACCAAGCCTCTTCTTCCATCTCCCTGTTACAAAAATCAATGGCGTGTACACGTCCACTGATAGGAGACGCGGAAGGTATTAAACTGATAAAATAGTACTAAACACACCACTCCTATCTGGTGTCACATTAGCTTGACCGCGCAGTGCCCCAAATTTGCAGTAAGAGGACCGACCAAGCCTCTTCTTCCATCTCCCTGTTACAAAAATCAATGCCGTGTACACGTCCACTGATAGGAGACGCGGAAGGTATTAAACTGATAAAAATAGTACTAAATACACCACTACTATCTGGTGTCACATTAGCTTGACCGCGCAGTGCCCCAAATTTAATGTGATCTGTGAGTAAGGTAAACGGTTGTCCATACAAGTAGGTTGCAGCTTTTTGAGGGCCCACACCACCGCCATGCACTCCTTTCAATGGCAGTGAATATACTTCGCTGTGCAAAAGTTTACGCTCTAGATAAAATCAATGCCGCAGCACGCCCACTGATAGGAGACGCGGAAGGTATTAAACTGATCAGAACAATACTAAACACACCACTCCTTTTTTTTGGTGAGGCTTTACAGGACAGAGTGCTTCTCCACGGGACATGTTAACTCACGGGCAGCTGGCTCATCAAGGAACTACAGCAGCTTTCCATGTACAGGTAAGACACGTGCAGCCGGTAAGGGTTCAAGCTCTTCTTCCTGGAGGATACGCTGCAAGCCTGTTGAACGAGGTGACCTTGCTCGGGTCCCAGGTGTACCGTTCCTAAAATGGCTGCCATATACACGTCCACTGATAGGAGACGCGGAAGGTATTAAACTGATCAGAACAATACTAAACACACCACAAATAAGGTTTCTCTCCTGTATGGCTCCTCAAATGATGCTTAAGATTAGAAGCAGCTGAAAAGCATTTCTCATTACACTGCTAACAAAAATAAGTATTTTTTAACATTCTCTCCACTTTGAACTAAATGACGCTTTGGGGAAGAGATTAACATAATTAAACACAGGCAGTAAAAAATACAGTTTTTAGCCATACACTGTAACTTTAAAACTACACATCCCATTCTCTATAATTACATATTTGGAATCAGCACAATTCTAAAAACATAAACATAACCAAAAATCAGCCAAATCCATCCAGGGGTTAAAAGGCTGGAGGTCCCTTTATGACCTAATCACAAGCACACATTTTCCTGCCCAAAACAGTTCCATAGATTTGCCAGGAGGCCTGGCCCTACTTAGGTTGAAAGACTAAGTCCCATCACATCGTGGGACTTAGTCTCAGAAGCTGAAATAATTTCCCATTTACTGAACCAAGTGGGAAATAGCAAGGCAGGCACAAAGGGTTTGCACCAGGTCTGGGGACACAGGGGACACCGTCTTAAAGGGGCCGTGTCCCAACAAGTCTGGGGACACGGCCTTAAAGGGGCAGTGTCCCAATCTTCCTGATGTCCCAAAAAAGGTGTTTAAGGGCCAGCACCAGTCACATAAAGAGTCCATAAGCCCCAATATGCCCACCGACAGTCTTAAAGGGCCATACACACCAAATAAAAGTGCATACATTTTCACAATCTCCCAGGGGCCATGGTCATGCGGGAGGAGGCTGGCAAGTAGGCTTCTCCACAACCCAGGGAAGCAGGGCAATTTGCCATTTAAAGGGCCCGTTACAAATAGCAGTTTGTAACAAGGTGTCAAGCCCATATCTGCCAAGTGACCTATGTAGGGGGACCAGTCCTATTCTGCTCTGTATCAGTGTGTATTAGGGATCCTTAGGACGGGTGTCAATCCATATCTGCCAAGTGACCCGATGTTGGGGTAACATTCCCTATTCTGCTCTGTGTCAGTGTGTATCAGGGATCCTTAGGACAGGTGTCAATCCATATCTGCCAAGTGACCCTATGTAGGGGGACCAGTCTCTTCTGCTCTGTGTCCGTGTGCATCAGGGGCTCTGAGGACAGGTGTCAATCCATATGTCAAGGTGTCAATATGTCATATGTCAGGTGTCAATCCATATTCATTGTGATTTAGGAATGTTAGGTGATTTCTGCCCTTTATGGATTAAAACCAGACTCTGTATCAACAGTGTAATTTTCCATGGGAGTTTTGCCATGGATCCCCCTCCGGCATGCCACAGTCCAGGTGTTAGTCCCCTTGAAACAACTTTTCCATCACTATTGTGGCCAGAAAGAGTCCCTGTGTGTTTTAAAATTCGCCTGCCCATTGAAGTCAATGGCGGTTCGCCTGGTTCGCCGGTTCGCGAACATTTGCGGAAGTTCGCGTTCGCCGACCGAAAATTTCGGGTTCGCGACATCACTAGTAACCAGTAGAAAAAAAAGAAGCTAAAGTAAAAGAAACTCAATATTCATATTTTATATATTTATTAAATATATAATAAACAACTATAGTTTTCTAATGCACCTGCTTTTTTCCCTCTATTGGTCACATCTCACTTGACCTGTGAATAAAATGAACATTTAGTGACTGTCTTTCCCATCAATCATCTGTTTTGTGGGTCCATGGACAGAGCTTCGAATCATGAATCAAATGAACATGATCATCCATTGCGTGAGACATTTGTTCCGATAAACAGCCGTATGGTACCTCAGAGTTACAGAATTCAGACAACCCATTTATCACCCTAAATATGGATGAATGTTTAGGTCCCCCGCCCCCTGAGATTGCAGTGAAAAGGTGAGTTTACGTAACATTTCTTCCTTTCTGTGCCAGTCTTGCAATGGCTGGCCTTACCTCCACGGCTGAGATCATCAATCTAGATCATTTCAGCAATTCAAATGCTTTCTGATAGGAAAGCATTGGGAAGCTATTGCGCATACACGACAAAATGCTGTACTGCACCAATCAGTATTTCCTCATAGAGATGCATTGAATAAATGCATCTCTATGGGGAGCATTCAGCGTCTTTGTGCAGTGTGCAGACACTGAACGTAGATGCGGCACACAGTGCAACACTGGACTAGGAAACACCTCTAGTGGCCGTCTAAGTGACTGCCATGAGAAGTCTTACTAGGCAGCAATGTAAGCATTTTACTTCTTCGTTTACTTTAAAAAGCCTGCAAAGACAGGCTTTAGGCACCAGAACCACTACATTAAGCTGTAATGTTTCTGGTGACTATAGTGTCCTTTTAACTTACCTTTTTGAAAGCCAGTTAACAAAACTACCACAGTATGCATGTGTTTCATTTAAGCAACAATATTATTAACACAATTTTTTTACTGTGTGATATTATGCTCAATGTTATACTAAAAATGTAAATATTATTTTCCAGTGATAATAAGTGTTTTTATAAAACACAAAAAACTGACAAAATTGATGAACGTTGGATTATTTTATTATCTTAGTTTAATACATACTGGTAAAACTGTGGGCTTTATTTTCACTAAAATAAATACACATTTCTACAGACGATTTATGGTAATTTTTTCAGAAGTGGTATTAGTGCGCCATCTAGTGGACAAAGTGGTGCTGGTCAAATAAACAAAAATTTATATTTATTATACAAGGAATCTGATAATTCCATAAAATGTCTTGTTTATCTTATTTGGATTTTTTAAAGTTATTGTTTAATTCTCATCAATAACTCTTTCTTCCACTTTGCATTACTGTGAGCAGAAAGCATACATTTAAGAAGATTGTTAACTTTAAAAATATATGTAGGGACCCTCAAGATTACTACCTTATCTACTGCAGTCCTATGTGTGGGGTGCTTAAGAATTATACAAACTCATAGACAGCAAACTGTGATGCACTGTGTGTTCTGACACCTTTCTCTCATGGCCAGCATTAAGTTTTTCATCAGTTTGAGCTACAGTTGCAGTTCTGTGTGATCGCATCAGACAGGCTATCCTTGTCTCTCCACATGCATCAATGAGCCTTGGGCGCTCTTGACCCTGATACCGATCCTCTGGTTGTCCTTCCTTGCACCACTTCCTATAATAAAGAGTTTCCCATATGCATCAAATATATGGATGGTAGTCCTTTGAAATCTCAGCTTGTTACTAGAAACCTCTCCCATTTCTGTTACCATTGGCACCTGTCATGTTGAATACCTACAGTTTGACCTGTTTCCTGTTATTTTGGGATCACCAAGGTTCAGAACCCACAATCCACTGGTTTTATTGTATTTCAGCAATTTAAACTACAGTATCTCTTT